AGTTAAACTCCTGGGATTATTGATCTGGTAAGTTAAGTAGCAGAGGGGGTTGTTAATCAGTTTCAGCTGCTTTGGGGTTAATGAAATTAACAACAGTGCACTAGATGGGCAACAATGAGACCATCCCCAAAAAGCAGGAATGGCTTTACAGGTGGAGGCCACTGATATTTTTTTTCCCTACTCCTTTTTTTCTGTTTTCCACTAGTTTTGCATTTGGCTAGGGTCAGTGTCACTACTGGTAGCATGAGTCAATACCTGAACCCTACAGAGGTTGCACAGGCAGTCCAACGCCTTCAGGATGGCACATCAATACATGCCATTGCCAGAAGGTTTGCTGTATCTCCCAGCACAGTCAGGCAGTTACTCTAGGATGAGCACTGCAAAGCCCTACAAAAATTACCTCCAGCAGGCCACTGGTGTGAATGTCTCTGTCCAAATCAGAAACAAAATTACTTCATAAGGGTGGGCCTGAGGGCCTAACATCCTCTGGTGGGCCCTGTGCTAACTACCCGGCGCCATAGAGCTAGAAATTAGCATTTGCCATTGAACACCAGAATTGGCAGGTCTGCAACTGGCACCCTGTGCTTTTCACAGATGAGAGCAAGTTTACCCTGAGTACATGTGACAGACATGAAAGGGTCTGGGGAAGCCATGGAGAATGTTATGCTGCCTGTAATATCATTCAGCATGACTGTTTTGGTGGTGGGTTAGATGGTCTGGGTCTTGGGGAGGCATATCCATGGATGAATGCACAGACCTCTACAGGCTAGGACAATGGAAATCTGACTGCCAGTAAGTATCTGGATGAAATCCTTGGACCCATTGTCAGACCCTGGAACTGGTGCAGTGGGTCGTAAATTCCTCCTGGTGCATGACATGCCCGGCCTCATGCTGTGAGAGTATGCAGGCAGTTCCTGGAGGATGAAGGAATTGATACCATTGAATGGCTCCCATGTTTTGCCTGACCTAAATCCAATAGACCACCTCTGGGATATCATGTTTCAGTCCATCCGATGCCACCAGGTTGCTCCTCATACTGTCCAGGAGCTCAGTGATGCCCTGGTCCAGATCTGGGAGGAAAAAAACCCGAGGACACAATCTGTTGTCTAATTAGGAGCATGCCCAGATGTTGTCAGGCATGCATACAAGCACGTGGGGGCCATACAAACTACTCAGTACATTATGTATATTTTCCAAATCTTGTTAAAGCCCAACTTTGGGCAAAAAACCCTAAAAAAACAAAAAAACAAAACAAAAAAAAAAAAACTTAAGACCCCAACTGGGGAAATCAATGGTGGAGAAGGATCTGGGAGTTCTGGTAGATCACACGCTTAATAATGGCATGCAATACCAAGCTGTGGTTTATAAAGTGAGCAAAATCCTCTCTTGTATTAAAAGAGGTATAGAATTCAGAGAGAGAGAGCGAGAGAGAGAGAGAGAGAGATAATTTTGCCCCTGTACAAAATCATTAGTAACACCTAATCTGGAATATGTAGTTCAGTTTTGGGCACCAATTCACAAAAAGAACATTGGGGAACTGGAGAAAGTACAGAGAAGGGCAACCAAACTGATAAGAGGCATGGAAGAAACTCAGCTATGAGGAAAGATTAGAGGAACTGAATGTATTCTCTCTTGAGAAGAGGAGAGTAAGGGGTATATGATCAAACATGTATAAATACATAAGTGGTTCATATAGTGAACTTGGTGTAGAGTTATTCACCCTGATGTCATCATGGAGAACAAGAGGGCACTCTTTATGTCTGGAGGAAAATAAATTAAAACTCCAAATACGGAAAAGTTTCTTCACAGTAAGAGCTGTGAAAATGTGGATTGGACTTCATCAAGAGTTAGTTCCGGCCAGCTCAGTGGATTGCATTAAAAAAGGCATGGATTCTTTCTTGGATACACAGAATATAACTGGTTACTAACATTTATAGGTAAAGTTGATCTAGGGAATGTCCAATTGCTTCTCGGGGAATCAGGAAGGAATTTTTTCCCCTGCAGGAGCAAATTGGATCATTCTTTTCTGGGTTTTTTGCCTTCCTCTGGATCAACTGTGGGTGTAGGATTATAACTTTTTTTTTTATGGTTTAACTGGATTGTCTTTTTTCAGCCAGACTAACTATGTAACTATGTAAGTCCGATCAGACAGCCTTTTTACACAATGCAGAGGATTAACCCCTTAGGTTCCACAATCAGTATAACAAGCATGCTTTTACTGCATAAACAGATTGATTTTACTGTTGTGTGTTTAGTAACACTTCAAATTACACAGAATCCAATTTCCTCATTGTTACCTCTCTGCCATCTTCTGCCGACAGTCTAAAGGAATCTTTTTATTCAAATGAGAAAGCCATGCAATGATGTATTTTGGAGTCACTACTCCTGCAAAAACATCTGACCATTTTATAAAAAAAATTACAACCCTTTGCTCCACCAGATTGGCTAAGATAAAAGGAAAATAACTAACAAAACTATCTTGGTTTGAGTGTGCAGCAGTACTCATAATAAATACCGTATTTTTCGCTCCATAAGACGCACCTGACCAGAGACTGCGGGCACAGTACAGGAGATGACCAGAGACTGCAGACACAGTACAGGAGATGACAGAGACTGCGGACACAGTACAGGAGATGACCAGAGACTGCGGACATGCAGTACAGGAGATGACCAGAGACTGCGGACACAGTACAGGACATGACCAGAGACTGCGGACACAGTACAGGACATGACCAGAGACTGCGGACATAGTACAGGACCCAGAGACTGCAGGACACAGTATAGACTGCGGACATAGCACAGGACATGACAGAGACTGCAGACACAGTATAGATGACCAAGAGACTGCAGAGAGTACAGGGGATGATCAAGAGACTGCAGACAGTACAGGGGATGATCAAGAGACTGCGAATCTTTGGGGAGGGGAGGGAGGGGAGCGGGTACCTGAATTTGACAGGTACCCGCTCCCACTTCCACGGAGTTGTCCTCCCTTTCATGTGGGCACCCAGCTGTGACAGCTGGGTGCCCACTGCGCATGCGCGAGAAGCACTGCACTTTGTGAATGGCCCAGCATCTTCTAGGACCTGTCATGTGTCCCAGAAGACACCAGACCATTCACAAAGCACAGCGCTTCTTGAGCATGTGCAGTGGGCATCCGGTTGTCACAGATGCCGGCACGGGAAGGCTGTACAGCGCTGGACCAAGGAACAGATAAGGTCCTGCTGCAGAGAAGAGCTGAATGGCCGGCCCGGTATTCTGACACGGTGGTGGAAATACCGGACTGGCCGCTCCATATGACGCACTGACATTTTCCCCCCTTTTTTTGGGGGAAAAAAGTGCATCTTATGAAGCGAAAAAAAAAAAAAAAAAGGTAATTGCCTGCTTGGATTGAGTCACCTTGAAAAGCTGAATACTCCAATACCAAACCTACCAAGGACAACTCTTAAATTAAATCAGTCCCCATCAGGACTCCAAACTGGTTATTTTCGAGAGAGAGAGAAAGAGCGAGAGAGAGAGAGAGAGAGAGAGAGAAGAGAGCGAGAAAGAGAGAGAGAGACGAGAGAGTGAGAGAGAGCAGAGAAGAAAGAGAGAAAAGAGAGAGAGAGAGAGAGAGGAAAGAGAGAGAGAGAGCGGGGAGCAGAGCAAGAAAACAGAGTGAGCGAGAGAAAGAGCGAGCAAGAGAAGAGAAAGCGAAAGCGGAGAGAGAGAAAGAGCGCGAGAGCAAGAGAGAAAGAGGGGGGGGAGCAAGAGAGAAAGAGCACAAGAGCAAGAGAGAAAGAGACAAGAGCAAGGAGAGAGGGGGAGCGCGCGAGAGAGGGGGGGGCGCGCGAGAGAGAAAGCGCGCGAGAGAGAAAGCGCGCGAGAGAGAAAGCGCGAGGGGCAAGAGGGCGAGAGAGGGGAGAGGAGAGAGGGGAGGGGAGAGAGGGGAGACAGAGGAGGAGGAGGGGGGGAGGGGGCAAGAGAAAGAGCGAGCAAAAGAGCAAGGGCATGAGGGAAAGCGAGAGAAAGAGCAAGAGAGAGGGGCAGAGAGAGAGGAAGAGCATGAGTGGGGGGGAGAGGAGGAAATAGAGAGGGCGCGGGGGCGAGGGGGGGCGAGAGGCGAGAGCGGAGAGAAAGAGGAGAGAAAAGAAAGAGCGCGAGGAGAAAGAAAGGGGGGGGAGAGAGGCGAGAGAGCAAGAGGGAAGGAGAGAGCCGAGAGGGGGAGGCGAGAGAGGGGCGAGAGCCGAGAGGGGGAGCGGAGGAGCCGAGAGGGGGAGCGCGAGAGGTGAGGGGCGGGAGGGAGGGGGGGAAGAGAGGGACGAGGAAGAGGCGAGAGGTGGGAAGAGGGGGGGGTGCGAGAGGTGAGAGGAGAGCGGGAGCCGGAGGAGCGGGAGAAAGAGGGGAGAGAAAGAGCGCGAGAGAAAGAGCGCGGGAGAAAGAGGACGAGAGAAAGAGCAAGAGCGCGAGGCGAGGAGAAAGAGCGAGAGAGAGAGAAAGAGCGAGAGGAAAGAGCGAGAAAAAGAGGGGGAGCGAGAAAAAGAGCAAGAGCATGAGAGAAAGCGAGAGAAAGAGCTAGAAATCCTTGTCTAGAGAGCGGGGGGGGGGGGGAGGAGAGGGGAGAGCGCGGAGGGAGGAGAGAGCGCGAGGGGGAGGGCGCGCGAGGGAGAGAGCGCGGAGGGGAGAGCGCGCGAAGGAGAGAGGGCGCGAGGGGAGAGAGCGCGCGAGAGAGAGGAGCGCGAGAGAGAAAGAGCGCGAGAGAGAAAGAGCGCGAGAGAGAAAGAGCGCGAGAGAGGAGCGCGGAGAGAGAGGGAGAGCGAGAGAGCGAGAAAGCGCAAGAGAGAGAGCGAGAGAAGAGGGCGAGAGCGAGAAAGAGTGAGAGAGCGAGAGGGGGGGGAGAGAGAGCGAGAAAGAGTGAGAGAGGAGAGGAGAGAGAGAGAGGAGAGGAGAGAAAGAGTCACATTTAACATTGAATCATATAATATTTTCATACTAGCTCTTTAATTTTATGTGCAAATACTTACGGATCAGATCCGGCACCATATATGGAATACTTGATTTCACCCCAAAGTCCAGAATCCAAGTCGGTTGCCTTAACAGGTAGAAATACAATAAATAATCAAGTTAAACTAGAGTTCATAAGCCAAGGGAGTCATTTTGAAAAGGGTTGTAGTCTAATATGTCATTACAAGAAATCTCCACTCAAGAATTCTTTACAAATTGACCAAAATAGACATACATATCATAGACTAGATACCCAAAATATCATTGAACCAGCAAACACAAATGCTCCTGCGCTTGGGGATGGACTTGATGCAGGCTACAACCACATTAAGAATGCTATGGAACATGCATACCTTGCTGCCCTCAAATAGACCGGGGGAATCCAAATATACTGAACGAGGAAAGAAAAAAAGAGGAGGGCGCACAGGCCTAGTGCATTACCTTAAAAAATGTTTAATAAAAAAATAAAGTATGTGTTGTACTCACAAACGACAATATAGTCAAGACACATCATAAAGAACAGCTGGGTCTACACCGTGCTGAGTAACTGAAGAGGAGGCAAGTCCTCGAAACGCGTCAGACTATTGGATGTCTACACTCCCTATTGCGGACTGTTACTCAGCGCGGTGTTGACCCAGCTGTTCTGTATGATGTGCCTTGACTATATTGTCGTTTGTGAGTACAACACATACTTTATTTTTTATTAAACATTTTTTTATGGTAATGCACTAGGCCTGTGCGCCCTCTGTTTTTTCTTTCCCCACCCAAAATATCATGATCTGATGGGCTGAATATAACACTCTGTAGGCACATATCAATTTGGAGGACGTGAGTCCATTAAAAGTGGGAGTAAACTCTCACTGGACACTTGTACCTACAGGTATGCACTGTTTAGGAGATATTCTGTGTCCCTTTAGCTGGTGACGTCACTGGCGCATGTGCTTTGAAGGAACTGCATAACTGTGCTGTTCCTTCAAGCTTGGTGCCGCGGCTGAGACTCTCACTCACATGCGTGGGAGTGACATCATTGTGGCTCGGCCAATCAAGCAAGCCTGAAAACCTGAAAGGAAGACCGGGTGAAGATGGATACATACTAGTGCATTATGACAACCTTGCAGGGAGATTTTTTTTTTCTTTTTTTTCTTTTTCAGGGCCTGTTTACTACCACTTTAAGAGGTACATACAGCTTAGTATACAGCAAGTGTAGAGTGAAGTCCACAAAACAGATCGCTATACTACACAATATCGGTAACGGAAGCTAACACAAGGTAAGACTGAATATGGTATTCATTTAGAGATAACAAATAAGTCAGTTTAAAGTCAGTTTAGCACATCCCTTTGACATATAATGTTGTTCCACAAAATATTCTATTTGTATGTCCAATTCACTTTGAAAGGTGAAAATAGATATTCCAAGCAATTTACACATTAAATTCAACACGAAGCAACCTGAAGGAGCTGTCTATGAAGAAGTGATTGAGCAGCACCTAAGAAGATTTAGTGCACCTGTCTAGACAGCGCACTTAAAGAATTACTGTCCATGAGGATCAAGCTTTATAACTTAACTGCAAATAAAAACATTGGCTACAAAGCTCATTGATATCTAATAATTAGTACCCTATGGAAATGTTTAACTAAAAATTGTAGGCCAACATAAAATGTTTTACCATACCCCAACAAAAATCATGTCAGATTTTTGCCAGTAATGCATACAATACACAAAAAAAACAATGCCATGGCATTGTAATTTTGAGATGAGCGAAGTATTCATGAAAATTCGATTCGGCTGATTCGGCGAATTCGAGGAATAAATTCGATTAGGGGAATTATATTCGCTGCGAATTTAACTTATAAAAGGGTGGTTTCTAGGCTTCAGAGAGGGGGCTTCATATTAGTGCAGAACACTGTACCTTTAATTTAAATGCCCCTTGGAGTCCTGCTGGGGAAGAGAAATAATACTGTCAAGTCAGTATGACATGCAGATGGTGCCGTCGATCTTAGAATCACCGCACACTTCACTCATTTGGGCAGTCACGGGGCCAAAACCAGAGTGTGGAGCCCAGTGTGGGCGGTTTGGAGGCAGCAGCAATGGGAGGCCTATAAGCACCCTAGACAAAATGGAAACCACCCAGCAGTGTGAGGAGACCTGAAAAGGCACAATGGCAGATGTGAGGCGATGAGGCAGCAATGGAGAGGGTCCTTACAGGGACCCATGAGACACTCTGGACCTGGCAGAGTGCGGGGCCCATGGAGATTGAGAAACTCGGCCAGGCAGCAGCAATGGGAGGCCCGTATTCTTCCAGGGACAATGGAAACACACACTCAGTGGAACGACCTGAAACGTGGCACGTGGCAGTGTGTGGCGATGGAGACAGCAGGGGCGAGTACAGGGGCCCATGACAGGGAGCCTGGCAGCAGCAGCAATGGGGGGCCATGGGCAGATTACGGGCCTGCCAGCAGCCTATGGGAATGGGGGGCCCGTAATCTGCAGCACCCTATGACAAAATGGAACACCACCAGCAGTGTGAGGAGACCTGAAAGTGGCAAACATGGCAGAGTGTGGCGATGGAGACAGCAGCAATGGGAGGCCGTACAGGGACCCATGAGACACTCTGGACCTGGCAGCAGCATGAGGAGGCGGGGGTACAGGGGCCCATGGGGATTAATCTGGCCTGGCAGCAGCAGTGCTGAGAGACCTGTAAGTGGGAGGCCAGCAATGGGAGGCCGTAATGAGAGACTGCCAGCACACCTGTTGCGGTACTGGGGCCCATGGCAGATGGCCTGGCAGCAGCAATGGGAGGCCCGTAGCCAGCACCCTATGACAAATAAATTGGAAGCAGTGTGAGGAGACCTGAAAGTGGCACATGGCAGGAGTGTGGCGATGGAGACAGCAGCAATGGGAGGGCCGTAACAGGGACCCATGAGAGATAAGGGGACCTGGCAGGTAGCATGAGGAGGCATGAGGTACTGGGGCCCATGGCAGATTACGGGCCTGGCAGCAGCAATGGGAGGCCCGTAATCTGCCAGCACCCTATGACAAAAAATGGAACACACACCAGCAGTGTGAGGAGACCTGAAAGTGGCACATGGCAGAGTGTGGCGATGGAGACAGCAGCAATGGGAGGCCGTACAGGGACCCATGAGACACTGTGGACCTGGCAGCAGCATGAGGATGGCGGTACAGGGGCCCATGGCAGATTACAGGCCTGGCAGCAGCAATGGGAGGCCCGTAATCTGCCAGCACCCTATGACAAAAAATGGAACACACCAGCAGTTGTGAGGGATACCTAAAAGTGGCACATGGGCAGAGTGTGGCGATGGAGACAGCAGCAATGGGAGGCCGTACAGGGGACCCATGAGAGACTCTGGACCTGGCAGCAGCATGAGGAGGCGGTACGGGGGCCCATGGCAGATTACGGGCCTGGCAGCAGCAATGGGAGGCCCGTAATCTGCCAGCACCCTATGACAAAAAATGGAACACACCAGCAGTGTGAGGAGACCTGAAAGTGGCACATGTTTGGGGCATGATTCATGGCGGATTTAGTCAGTTGTGTCAGGAACTGGTGGTTTGAAATCCAGACTAATCCACGCCTGATTCATTTTCACAAACGTGAGTCTCTCCACATTTGGGTGGACAGTCGTGTCCTCCGCGGAGTTACAATACCTCCTGCCGCACTAAACACGCGCTCCGATGCCACGCTACTGGCCGGGCATGACAGCCTTTCAAGGGCAAATTCAGCTAGTTGGGGCCAAAGGTCAAGTTTCGTTGCCCAGTAGTCAAGGGGATTGTCTACCTCGGTTGGCAGGGTGCTGTCCAAGTAGGCCCAAGCCTGTTGTTTGAGGTCCTGCTCCAGGTCCACCTGATGCTGCTGCTGCTGCGCGGCTGGTTAGTAGTTTCCTCACTGCGCTGTTGAGAAGAAAGCTACTCATCATCGACTGCAGACTGAGGCAGCCGCTGCTGGTGGAGCTGCCACTGCTCCTACCACCCACCCCTCCCCTGCTGCCATGGCAGCGGAACGCGAGCGCACAGGGCCACACAGTGTCTGAGGATGGACGTTGGCGCAGAAAGGCAGAGACCAACTGACTACATAGGTGGTTTTTATAGTACTTTATTTTGGCCTCCCTCTCAGCAGGTGTGAAAAAGGCCACCATTTTTGAACGGTAGCGAGGGTCCAACAAGGTGGACAGCCAAAAGTCATCCCTCTGTTGATGGTTATTATTCGGCTGTCGCTACGCAAGCAACGAGAGCATGCTATGGGCCATTTGTGCCAAGGAATGCGAGGGACTCCCTGCCTCCATCTCCACAGCATACTGCCACGGTGCGTCTGGGTCCTCTGTCTCTCCTCCTCCTCCTCTACCAGATGCTCCTGCTCCTCCACTCCTGTCCGCTGAGTGGAAAAACCACCCATTTCACTCAATAATTCCTGAGCACCAATGTCCTCTACCTCTACTCCTCCTCTTCTTCCTGTCCTGCCCCCACAGGGGTCATGTGGCGTTGAGATCTGTGCGCCACGTCTACCGCACCCTGACCAGCCATTGTTAACAGCATTTGTTCCAGGACGTGCAACAGAGGAATGACGTCGTTCATCCATAGTCCTGCCGACTCACGAATAGCATGTGGCTCCTCAAAGGGCCTGAGCAAGCGGCAGGTGTCACGCATGAGCTGCCAATGGCTGACATTTAAGTTACACAGGGGTAGTACCTTTATCCGCTTGTAACATCAGGAAATCGGTGGTGATGGCCTTTCGCTGTTCGTAAAGGCGGTCTAAATATGTAGGGTTGAATTCCACCTTGTTGCAACGTCGCAGATCAGGCGATGCTGTGGAATTCCGTTCTGCCGCTGCAGCTCAAGGAGGGGTGTGCTTTGCGGTGTGTAGGAATGGCTGAAATGCATGCAAAGTTTACGTGACATTTTAAAGGATGTCTTTGCAGTGGGATGGTGGATTTTAGGAACCGCTTGACAACCAGATTGAACACGTGAGCCATGCATGGCGCATGGCACAACCTTCCTTGACGCAGAGAAGACACCATGTTCTTTCCGTTGTCGGTCAACATGGTTCGATTTTCTGTTTGCGCGGAGTCAGCCAT